CGACTAACCGAAAAACCGATTCAAAATATAAAATTCAAAATAAAAAGACAAACAAGCGTGCTACATGTGATCAACATAAAACTATAAGCAAGCTACATTATACTCTTTGGTGATTACGCGATTTAAATCAATGCTAGAAGCCTAGAAAAGCGCTGCGACTCAAATGGCGGATTAAAAGCGGATCAAAACAAGCTTAAAGCTTCCGGTTTGATTAGCTAAGAGAAAGGCGGACGTCTGCGAAGACGTCACGTGGATAACACACAAGACATGTTGTTTATTTTTGTCAAAATAATTTCATTGATTAAAAGATTATTTTGTGATGATTCTCGGTTTCGGTTATTTTACGAAACCGCATCACCCTAGTTATGAATTCCTTTCCAAGGTACAAATGTGGTGTAAAAAGTGGAATAGAGGAAATTTAACAGCAATGCCTTGCACCATATGTCAACTAAAATTTATGATTAGAAACTTATGAAGGCTTGGGGGATTTGGTGGCACAATCATCAGAACAAGTGCCTTTCACCTCTGAGATTGCGGGTTCGCTGCAGACACTCGTGACTCTAGGTGAAAAAAGTCAGTCAACGCTTTACCAAAAGTAATGGGTTTTCTCTGGGTACTCCAGTTTCCTCCTGTTGGGAGTGTTGACAGGGTGAGTTAGGATTAGACCCTAACTGACCTTTCCATTGTAGCTGTGCTCTGTGATCAGACATGAGGTAGGAGCCAGAGGCACACTTAGAAAGCCTTCAACTCAATCAGGTTGAGCTGCACCCTTTGCAGTCCATCTTTGCTCTCAGCTGCAAGTAAGGATGATTAGCACATCCCCACTTACTTTTAAAGACTCCAACCAGTTGGAATTCAATTCACATATTGTCAACAGCACGCTATATTGACACGTCCTTGTGTCAGCAATATATAGTATTGCAAAACATTAAGTAAGCCCAAACACAAAATTTCCTTTTTAAATAAAAACAAATACTACCTTTCTTAATTCAACTGTAACATCATTTCGTCTTTGCCTTGATGACTACAAGAAATATAACTTATTAAATTTAACAGACACAGGAAGGAGAAATGATGTGAGGAAATGTCAAACATATCGTACAACATGCACATGCTGAGACACTATGATCTCTATCATTTCTACTGTATATCAAACCATAATTTTTTCTGAAAATTATCAAATAATTTTTAAAAATGTTGCTGTATTATGGATAGTTTATAAGGTATCTGGCTTCATACAACAAAGAATGAAGAATATAAATCTTATGGTTCAATGGTTGAAAAATCAACCAAGATGGCCTCGATTGCAAACAAGCAATTAATTTACTTATTTTAAATGAAACTAGGCCTAAAAAAATACCTGTGGTTCCGGTTTCATATCGTGAAAAAATTAGGGTCGGTAGGTCGGAAATATATTTTTTTTCATGGTTTTGGTGGTTTTTTGCTGGGTGACTTGCAGTAGAGTCCGGACATCAATATTAACTAGAGATGCGTATTTCCTATGGACGAATTTAGGCAATTTGGTTCAATGATTAGTGTGACAACAGATGCCATTTGGCACGCTGTATGAACAGCCCGCAACCACCCAGAGAAAATAGGGTTGCACAGTCAATTGCATTGAAAAAATAATGGGGTCGGCAGAAAAAAATAGGGTCGGTTGGGAACCGGAACCACAGGTATTTTTTTAGGCCTTAGCTATACGTTATAACAATTGCCAATCCTATAGGCTAACCACATGTACGCACCTATATACAATGCATACCTATTTTTTTATTTGTCATGTATTGTCATATTTTTTGTGTAAAGGCAAGTAAAAATGATTTTGTTTTTTGTGCTTAATTATTCAATATTATTACTTTTTTCTACATATGAAAGTTTTGTTGTAATTCAGTAATTGTGCTCTAATTAAAATTTGTCTTTTGGTCAGCAATAGAAGCAGTATTGAAGAGGTCAACAATGCTTGCAGTTTTCTTGTTTTGTTATGACAATGAAAGTACTTGTCAAAAATCAATCTGTCCAAACCTCAGCAACACATAAGAACACAAACTTGTCAATCAAAACAAAATTCAGCTACAAATATTAAAGAATACATGGGGAACAAAATAGACTGTTTTTATTGAATAAAACAACTATTTAAATGTTTTTTGTTGTGCATACTCTCATACTTTCAAAACAAGCATAATTTTGTGACGTTCTAGATAGGACGTGAAAACACCCTAAATGCCGTCCTAAACACAACGTGAACAACATCCTAGACTAAACCACTTGCCATGCCGCCATTTTCATATCCTGGTCGATGTCGCGTTGCATTTGCCTAAAGCAGTCTATTAACTCATTGAGCCGCAATGCGCCCCAGTGCGCCCTACTTATTTTTTTACTTGTCCAACGCCAGACAATTTTACTCGTCAATGGGGAAGCTCTGCAACTTAATGCTCAAAATGGTGAGATTTGGGAATCATATTGATTTCAAAATGAATATAATAAAGGCTTGTGACCACTTAACCTGACGCAACTAACCACCCCTCAACATGTTATGAATCACATTTATAGATGCACAAAATGGCATTTACAAAACACTAAATTACCACTGGACCCCCAGAGGTCACCCCACTGGACCCCTAGAGCATTCAAATATAATTACACGTTTATCAAAAGCATCAGCTGGGGTGGTTTACGATATGAAGCCTTTGATTTATAAACAAATTTGCAAGTATGTCAATTTAAATTTATTCTTCAACATACTCATCAATTTCACCAGAACTAATTCACTTCTAAACACTCAATACACACTTTATATTAGATCAGGTTATTCAGTGAACAATGTCATTGTCGAGATGTTTTCAATTCTTGCTGAATCAATGATATTGATTTCAGTCCTCCTTCATAATTTATTCACACCTAAATTTAAAAAGGCTTTATATATTGAAGGATTAGCTAGCAGAGGTAGTTTAAGTGAGAGTAGAAGATAACAAAACGTGTATATTTAACAATCGTACATTCCGTCAGACCAGACTGCTACTTCCCAAAGACTCAAGGTGAGTTACTGAGCTTGAGAAGAACTAACACCGGTCAAAAAATATCGACTGTACGTTGTACTCTACTTACTGCTTGGTCTCTGTCGTTGTATTTGTAACTTCTTAATCTTGATTCAATGCCCTTCGTTGCCATTTTTATTAAAAAATATTGAACGAACACAACAAATTAAAATTTATTTGCTCCTTGACTGCCCAGTACTTGCTCAACAACGCAAAGTGCGCATGTGCATTGTATACCGCTGTTCAGTTGAAACGCGGCAGAATATTAACACCGGAAGAGCAAATATTACATTCATGTGTAGTGGTGTCTAAATTAAAATTATAAATATTTATATATTAAAGATCTATTTAACCTGTGCCAATTAAAGGTGAGTTTTCCTTCGAAATTATAAATGATATTTTATTTAATGATTTTTTAAAAGGTTAATAATGCATGTATCAATTTGAAACATCGGCCCGCCCCCCCCCCCCTGACAGCCCCGAGCATACCCTTGGGCATATTAAAACTTAAATGTCCCTAGGTATAAACATCAAATTTCATAGAATGCTAGATTTGGTGGGTATAAATTTAAGTGAGCATATATGTACACAATTTAAGATTCCGAGTCGCACAGGTTTGATTCATGCCCCTAAGGCCTGGTGTTGCATTTTTTGCAACATGCCGTCCCTGGTTAGGTCTTGAATTGTGTATATAATATACGGCTCACTTGAATATTTACACACTAAATCCTGCATTCTAGTTCAAGTGAGGTGCAATTACATCTTTCAAATTAAATCTCTTTTGTTTCCTAACAAGATAAAATGAAAAGAATGAATATAAATATACTTTTAATTAACCCATTAAGTTGCATGCATTTGCATCCCAAAGCACCTACTTTGTTATTTTATTCTGTCTAACACCAGATGATTTTACTTGTCTGGGAATCTGAGTGATATGGTGCTCAATGGAATAGAATTGTTAAATGCAATATATAGACAGAGAGAATGTACTATTTTCCATCACAAAGAAGATTCAGAATGTTCAATTCCCCACTCCCTGGAGAGATATTTAGATTATAGAGTCAGATTCTCAGGGTATGTATGCTTGAGGAACACGGAGGGAGGGGGAGGGATTGGGCAATGTTTTAATTTAATCTGTACATAAATAGTTATATTTTGTATATATAATGTGGATTCAGGAAGACTGTTTAATTTGAATAATTATCGTGTGCGTTGCAACAATTGCATTATGATGTTTCTAGGAAGGCACCAACAACAACACCATCCCACCAGCAACAACACCATTCCCACCAACAACAACATCATCCCACCAACAACAACACCATCCCACCATGCAACAACAACACCATCCACTCAACCAGGTTCTTAGCTAGAAGGCTGTGTTGGCCGTGTTATCGTGGGCAAAAATGTAAAAACACGGCTAGATGAAATGAATGTCTATGCTCGCCTTGTATTTGGTTGAAAACCATAGAACAACCACAGGTATAATCTATTGTTGACAAGCATGCATAACTGGAATCATGTTTTTGGCTATTCAAGGCAATTGACATGGGCACACCCTGGAAATTTAGAAACACGCCCAAGATATAAAATGCTAGCTAAGATCCTGCACCCAACAACGACACCATCCCACCAACAACACCATCCCACTAACAACATCATCCCACCAACAACATCACCATCCCAAATTGCACCAACAACACCATCCCACCAACAACAACACCATCCCACTAACAACAACACCATCCCACCAACAACATTACCATCCCAAATTGCACCAACAACAACACCATCCCACCAACAACACCATCCCAAATTGCACCAACAACAACACCATCCCACCAACAACAACACCATCCCACTAACAACAACAGCACCATCCCACCAACAACATCACCATCCCACCAACAACATCGATCACCATCCCACCATGCACCACCACTGTTCCAGAGTAGTCATATTTTTGTACTCTTCAACAAAAATAAGTTTTAAACTTTTAAATTTTTATTTCTCAAATTAATACTGCAGATTCTGTATAAGACTGTTTAATGCAAATAATTATCACGTGTGTTGCAACAGTTGCGAGGGTGCGGTTTGTATGTATTGTGAGAAAAACATGTTCTGGCATACAATATAATATTCATTGAATTTTGGTGTTTTTATAGTCATGTATGTCTCTTTCTGTACTCCTCTGGAAATTATTTTGTCAAACATTAAATACAATCTTCTGGTTTTACTTGAAAAATGTTTTTCCTTGTTTGTACGTTCGTCATTTGCGACTTACTTTTCCACATTTTGCAACTGTAAAATTCCATCCATGAATGGTTGAATTTTAAAAATAACATTTAAACCCATGGTGATGTTGTTGGTGGGATGCATGGTTTCAGGGTGGTGGTATATGGCGAGGTTGGTGGTGGGATATATAGTGATGTTGTTGGTGGAATGGTGATATTTTTGGTGGGATGCATGGTAATGTTGTTGGTGGTAATGATAATGTGATCTAGGTAGTGGTAGTGACTTCATTATTTTGACAACACTGTATGGTAAAGCTCAGCACAATTACATTTGTAAATATGCATTTTCTGTTCCATTATCTCCAATGATCTCAATTTTAAGAATGAGTGCTGAGTACAGTAATAACTTATAAGTATTTATGTGTCTTGCAGAATGTTGTCATAAATTGATCCATCTACCCTTGGGTTTAAAAAGTGAAACAAATATATAGTATAAATTCCTAAACATGGGTTTCTGGTCAAGCTACAAAAGACTTACTCAGAGACAGAAATTTCTCATTGGCCTCAGCTGGATTGCAACTGGTTTACTTGGTCCACATATCTTGCTCTATTTTGTCCCAAGTCAGAAACAAAGACTTCAGGAAAAACAAAGAATTGAAAATGAAAAAGAAGAATTGAGTAGTTAGTTGAATTAGAACTATAAGAGTCGAGTCCAGTTGGCTGCATGGGAAGCTGACCAAAGACCAAATTGGGATGAATTATTATTATCCCACATTATTATGCTGCCTCACTTTCTGTTGTGATTGAACAAACTGTACTTTTTAATTATTACAACTTTAATAGTGTTAGGTCTTGGCAGAAGTGGAAAAAGTATTGGAACCTGCATGGGAACCTAGTTCCCAGAAATTTTTTAGGCATCCAAATTTTCGCAGAAATTTTCACAGATATTGTTTTATATTTGATAACTAATTCTGAGAATTACACTAATTGAATATCAGATTACTAAATACTTGATTATTGAAATGATTGAATAGTTATATAATTAATCTGCTATCTCGATACCTAAATTACAGTGGAATAGTTCAGAACAAAAATAGCATGCAGTGTTACTTTGTAACTATGATTTTGTACTTCAGGATTTATCTTGTATGCTTGATCAGTCTTAATTGAAGAGATTGCTTCACGCGACTCACATCTTAATGAATATAATCCATGTAAGGTAAGACCGACATCACGACATGAGTCACAAACAACAATTTTGTTATTTTTCCCTATACAGGGTGTATAAAAAAAAACTGAACAGATTTAAAATTGCTCTCAATTTCGCAAAACAGCTATTTGTATCCGGTTTTTTATATATATAGCCTCTTTGGGTACTTATAATGTAGAATAATGAGAAAAATTTCTCAAACTCAAATTTTGTGAACCAGGGGGGTGTGTCTTTTCCAACAAACTAAAAATGGCTCGCGCACAAAATTTAAAAGCTGCAATCATATTTTGAGTTAACAGATGGAAAATTTGTTGGGATTTTAATTACTCTACAAAATTTCAGACAATTTGGTTTAGGTTAAGCCCCTTAACTATTCACGCAAAGTTACAATTTTCCCGAAAAATCAGCTATTTGCATGCTTAATTAATGCATTTGCCTAATTTGCATATGTCAGCAATATGCAAATTAGGTAAAGGCATTAATTAAGCATGCGAAAGGCTGACTTTTTAGAACAAAATGAATAGTTAAGGGGCTTAAACTAAACCAAATTGTCTGAAATTTTGGACAGTAATTAAAATCCCGCCAAATGTTCCATCTGTTAACTCAAAATATGATTGCAGCTTTTAAATTTTGTGCGCGAGCCATTTTTAGTTTGTTGGAAAAGACACACCCCCCTGGTTCACAAAATTTGAGTTCGAGAAATTTTTTTCATTATTTTACATTATAAGTACCCAAAGAAGCTATATATATAAAAAACCAGATGCAAATAGGTGTTTTGCGAAATTGAGAGCAATTTCAAATCTGTTCAGTTTTTTTTGATACACCCTGTATATACACGCATATTATACAACACTATAATTTAAATATTCAAGTTGTACCGCACGCAGGAGGAGTCTTTGCCTACATCGGATGACTTTACCATGCGTTTGATATAAGAGAGCTATACTTTCGACATAATTCTTGATCATAGAGTCTCAGCGATGCCAAAACGGCATATATTACAGTCTTTACTGCAACGGGCTCTAACAGTCGGGAGATCATGTTTAGAATTTACACACAGTTGGCAAGATCACAGGATCTCGTTATTTTCATAGGCATAGCAATTGCACATCTCTACATAACTAACATAAGTCATATTAAGGTAAATCCGTTGGATATACGTATCGAACAGCCGGAACAGGATACACTTCAACACTATAGTGGCTTACACTATAGTGGTTTAGCTATAGTGGTGCAGTGTTATGGAACAGCTTACCTAGCAATATAAGACAAGCGGAATCTCTTACTGAATTTCGACAATTGTTGAAACATCATATTCGATAGACACGGCATTCATGGAAAACAGGTATAAATATTAATGTAACATACGCGTGAAAAATTTTTAAACTTATTAATGTATAGATAACTTTTTTGATACCTTTTTTAAATCGTAACGATGAGAAATGGCTACACACTCGTCAAATAAAAATTGCCGGTCGAAATCACATTCTTCCACCGTTGGGAATTGAAAATACATTAATTATGCAAAGTTAGTCAATCCAAAAGCAACGCGAGCCTGCTGCAAGCTATTTGTTTCATAAAACGTTTTGATAACGAATATTCTCGGTTCAGGGGTTAATTGAAACATGTTTCGTACCAAATTCGTATTGAGTTATTGTCACACTATTAAAGATGAAGATTGACGAGTCGAGTTCAGCTTATTTTAGATAATTTAACATTCAATTTTAAATCCCTTTTGGGTATTGTTTATGTTTCGTTTTCGATGCAATTCCCAATGGTGGAAGAATGTGATTTCGACCGGCAATTTTTATTTGACGAGTATGTGGCCATTTCTCATCGTTACGACTTAAAAAGAGTATCATTGAAAAGCTAAATAACTGTTCTTTCGTCCTATGTAAAAATTGAATTGTTTAGCCACGTTTATGATGCACGACAGCCTGTTTAATTTCCGTAGCGTTTTCTTTTTGAGACACCTATACTGTATAATAGAAAAATACTTTGCTAAATATACCTGTAAGGTATAAAAGGCGGGGGTAAATCGCTATAGAATTATATAGAAGATGCTAATTACTATGCAATATTTTGCCTTCAACAACATACTAGTGAAGACAAAATAGGAAAAGCATACAGTTGTCTTATAATTCTGTAGTGTAGATTCTCTAACAATTTTTGTACTAAGTATTGTACCTTCCTACTGTACCTAGTGTTAAAATATAAACAGTCTATATACAATTTTAGAATCAATAGAATGGACATTCAATGAAATTCAATGTCTATACTCACTCCTTGCAATCGAAGTGTAAAGTGCGGAAGTGGAAGCATGTAGTATAAGACTTTCTGACAATTTTCTAAGGGCCACGTGATCAGCCGCAAAATACGTTGTACCATATCATCAATACAGTATAAATCTCGATACAGTAACCTAATGGATTCATACGCATACGTCAGACTAGAATAAATATATTTGCCCTAAAACTCACTAGTTTTACAGTGTAACTTGGCTAGCTTTATTGTACAAGTCATGATAGATTGTCTGCAGTGATTGATCAAATGTTTCACGATGACCAACACCAGTATATAAATATTTCTTATTTGACCAATATTCTGTGTCATCCAGAGGAACTGTGATACTAAACAACAAAATAACAAAATAATAATTCAAACTTTGCATTGATGTTTTTTCGAGATGAAGTTTGATAAATGTCTTGTCTGTAATAATATAGTTTTAGTTAAAAATACTATTGCCCAGCAAATAACTCGTAAAAGAGGCATATTCAAAAAACATTTGGTATATAATATTGAAAACAATTACTATTATTGAAAATATAATATTGAAAACAATTACTAGCTACAGTAGTTATTTGCTGGGCAATAATATTTTTAACTAGAATTCGATTTCCGCCTGGTGTTTCTATTGCTAATATAGTTTTGTTTTGAGCATGAGCTCTAAATATTTGAAGACAGTGGCAATGGAAGACAAATAAAATATAGGAGGACCCCGGTTTATTAATGTTAATTTAACTTTAACTGCTTTACCTCAGGTTTAGATGTTTGTCCAATGAAAATTATGGTCAATTCCTATTTAAGCTGAAAATATTAAAAACTTGGTTTAGAATTAACAAAAAACTATCAATAGAATTTCATTTATTTTAGTTTATTTACAGACTATGTTTAATTTTTACTTTCCTATCTTTGTATTCAACAATTAGTCGCCGAAAGCGAGGTGATTACAAGCCTATTTTGAAAGCCAGTATTGAAAAAGTTTTATATATAAATACAATTAATACAATTAATACACGTGTTTATTTTATGAATATACTTTGCATAAATAATTAACTTCCGTCTGATTTTTAGCCATTTTTTGTATCTGCGAAGCAGATATATATGCTATCGCAAACGTGCCGTTAATGTTACCGTACCGTACCGTATGTTAACATATAGCCATTCAGCGATGAGCTTATATAATTTAAACCAATTTAAACCAATTTAAGCTAATCAGCGATTCGTTTACATCAATTGTTTACATCGTGCCCGCATCTAACCTGCGAACGGGCATACTTTAGCCTCGTCAGGCCTCGTGTATAAATCGTGTTTATATTCTTTCAAAAATAGAAAAACG